GAAACGTTTCCTTAATAAAGATACCCAAGAGTTGCACATGTGTCTAATTTATCAAGCCTGTTGTTGTTGACTCGAGTAGTAAGTACTCACTTTGCAGTGTTAGTATGTTTATTTAGGCACAGGAACACATTAGTACAATTATTATATATAGTTTAAGTTATCTAGGATAACCTAAAAAATGTCAGTGATTTATTTCCGTTAGGATTCCTGTAAATACCTTATTATTTAAAGTCTCTTTTCTTGGAATGGTGGGTGTCTGGCTCAGATTCTGCCAGAGCATTTCAGAAAAATTAGGTTAAGTTTGTCTCCAGGATACAACCCACACCAGTCGACTAACACTCAGACACCCATTTTACTGCTAGGTGAACAGGGACAACAGGTGCCTTAAGGAAACGCATCCTAATGTTTCATCCCGTACCGGAGATCGGGAGTGTGTGCTAGCAACCGAGCACCGGGACACAATTGAGTTTGCGTGGTGTAACTGGGTGCTTATTCTTCCCATTTCTCTTGCCAGATAAAACTTTGTGGCAATTTTTAATGAAAACAAAAATTTTGGGCTTATTATTATTATCACACTGGCCGATTCCCACCAAGGCAGGGTGGCCCGAAAAAGAAAAACTTTCACCATCATTCACTCCATCACTGTCTTGCCAGAAGGGTGCTTTACACTACAGTTTTTAAACTGCAACATTAACACCCCTCCTTCAGAGTGCAGGCACTGTACTTCCCATCTCCAGGACTCAAGTCCGGCCTGCCGGTTTCCCTGAACCCCTTCATAAATGTTACTTTGCTCACACTCCAACAGCACGTCAAGTATTAAAAACCATTTGTCTCCATTCACTCCTATCAAACACGCTCACGCATGCCTGCTGGAAGTCCAAGCCCCTCGCACACAAAACCTCCTTTACCCTCTCCCTCTAACCTTTCCTAGGCCGACCCCTACCCTGCCTTCCTTCCACTACAGACTGATACACTCTTGAAGTTATTCTGTTTCGCTCCATTCTCTCTACATGTCCGAACCACCTCAACAACCCTTCCTCAGCCCTCTGGACAACAGTTTTGGTAATCCCGCACCTCCTCCTAACTTCCAAACTACGAATTCTCTGCATTATAAATTTTGGGCTTATCCTAAGTAATTCACACATATAATATCATATATAGTTTATTATTATTATTATTATTATTTTATTTCAGCATGATACAATGTACAGAGATGGGTGACATTTAGCTGTGCAGAAATCCCATAGTTATGCATACTTACTGACATTAAGGACTCCTTTGGAAATCAGTCACTAGGTAATTTACACTAGGTATGATAATTGTACTTATGTGTACCTGTATCTAAATAAACTTACTTGAAATTCAGCACCCACATTCAACATATAAGAAAGTGTCCAAAACAGTTGGCATCCTCTCAGAGTTACATTATTATGTAATACAAACAGCACATTTACATAATACTATTCACTGATCTACCCCTACCTCACATACGCTATTTGTGTCTAGGGATCCACAACAGAAAATCGCCTCAGGCCAATAATAACTCAAGGTGTCCCGTGGCCTGGTAGGTCACACTCTCACTTCATACACACAGTGTCCTTGGTATGATCCCCGGCAAGGGTGAAAACATTTGGCGTGTTTCCTTACACCTGTTGTCCCCCATTCACCATCAAGCAATTAGGCACCTGGGTGTAAGTCGACTGGCGTTGGTCGCATCCTGGGGAACAAGATTGAGAACCCCAACGGATATCAGACAGACGGTCCCTTGATGACGCACTGCATTTATTAGGTTATCCTGGATGGCTAACCCTCCGGAGTTAGAAATCCGAACAAAATCTTATCTTAACAAAAAGCAGTACTACAAATAATCACACAGTCCACTGCTAGATAACCCTCCCCCCCTCTTCAAAGCCTAAATCACCTTACTTTACAAAACATTCACTCTTACTACTGTGCATCCTCCATATACATCACAATAAATTCTAATATCAATTCCGACCTGAAGCACTTTCTTCATAGTTGCAACAGGATCCTTGGACATAATACTAGGCACAAAAATCTCCATAACAGACACCGTGTCAGGCTTAACCTTTGTAAAAATTCAATGTATATATATATAAAAAGGGCCAAAAATCCGGAACTCCCTACCGTAAATCTCCAGAGCCACTGTCTCAGCCAGCATCTTCAAAACCACCATTAAAAACACTTTCTCTCCCTAATATATCTCAGCATCAGCTAAATGTGAGTAAACTATATATCCATATTCGAATTATCACAAACATATGGAAAACAATATATTCTTATTCTCAATATCTGTAATCCTCACAACCATCAAAGTAATGAATGTGTTCACATTATATTAATATGCTAGAATCCTCATTACCTATAATCCTAATCATACCTGTAATTTTTAAACAATTAACTCGATGAAGGGTACATAGCATGTACTAATACAATATTCAATTCTCTTGAATTCATTGTAACTTAAATTTATTTTTACAACCACCTTAGAGACTGTATATAAGATAAGATAAGATAAGATAAGAAAAGATTTCTTTTGGATTTTTAACCCCGAAGAGTTAGCTACCCAGGATAACCCAAGAAAGTCAGTGCGTCATCGAGGACTGTCTAACTTATTTCCTTTGTGGTCCTCAATCTTGTCCCCCAGGATGCGACCCACACCAGTCGACTAACACCCAGGTACCTATTTACTGCTAGGTGAACAGGGCAATAGGTGTAAGGAAACGTGTCGAAATGCACCCAGTTATTTCCTCGCCGGGTCACTAACTGGACAAAACCCGGGACGGTACCGGCGAACTAGTGAGTTTATTCAAGTATACACAAACACAGTTACACAGATTATTATACATAGCAGCATATGTGTAGAGAACCTAGGATAACCCAAAAAAGGTCAGAGTGACTTATTTCCATTGGGGTCCAACTTATTTCCATTGGGGTCCTACTTATTTCCATTGGGGTCCTACTTATTTCCATTGGGGTCCTACTTATTTCCATTGGGGTCCTACTTATTTCCATTAGGGTCCTACTTATTCCCATTGGGGTCCTACTTATTTCCATTGGAGTCCTACTTATTTCCATTGGGGTCCTACTTATTTCCATTGGGGTCCTACTTATTTTCATTGGGGTCTTACTTATTTCCATTGGGGTAATACTTATTTCCATTGGGATCCTAATTATTTCCATTGGGGTCCTACTTATTTCCATTGGGGTCCAACTTATTTCCATTGGGGTCCTACTTATTTCCATTGGGGTCCAACTTATTTCCATTGGGGTCCTACTTATTTCCATTGGGGTCCTACTTATTTCCATTAGGGCCCTACCTATTCTCATTGGGGTCCTACTTATTTCCATTGGGGTCCAACTCGAACTTTAATCATTGTCTTATTTATCTTAAGTTTTAGGTCTGCCCGAAATGCTCTGCATACAAGGTGTTTTTGCCTGGCTAGCAAAGCTCCCGCTTCACACACGGAAGCCCCGGGTTCGATTCCCGGCGGGGTAGAAACATTTCGACGCGTTTCCTTACACCTGTTGTCATGTTCACCTAGCAACAAGTAGGTACCTGGGTGTTAGTCGACTGGTGTGGGTCGCATCCTGGGGGACAAGACTGAGGACCACAATAGAAATAAGTTAGTCCTCGATGACGCACTGGCTTTCTTGGGTTATCCTGGATGACTAACCCTCCGGGGTTAAAAATCCGAACGAAATCTTATCTTTATACAATTATATATCATGTCAAAATAAAACATTATTATTATTATTATTATTATTATTATTATTATTATTATTATTATTGTTATTACTTTTACTTTTTGGGTTATCCTAGGTAATCTACACATTTGCTGCTATTTATTTTATTCCCCTCAAGGAAGGTTCCTTGATGTTGGTGAGGGGTTCTTGATTTAGGAAATTGGATCTGTGCTCCAGTTCCTTGAATTAAGCCTGAATGCCTTCCACATCCCTCCTCAGGCGCTGTATAATCCTCCGGGTTTAGCGCTTCCCCTTGATTATAATAATAATAATATTTATTTTATTTATTTATTTATTATTAATTTGGACATGATACATAGTTGTACAAAAGAAATACAATGGTTGAGTGTACATGTCAAAAGCCCCTTGTATGCAGAACATTATGGGCGGGATTAAAATTAACTTAAGATTAACTAAGCAATGATATATTCAGTGGTAAAAATTACAGTAAACAAATTACAACATGAAGTACAAATGAGTATTTCAAATAAGAGGCTTTACAGTTGTACAGATTTGTAGCATATTTGATGAGTTACTGAGCATTCAAGATAATTGAGTATTCTATTAAGTAATGTAATTACAAAAAAACATAGTTTGACAGGGTCACAGGTTATACATTAATGAGATACAGTTAATCAGTGTTCATTAAGTTGTGGGTGATTAAGTGGTTTTTAAGAAGAGTCTTGAATTGATAAACACGCAGTGTTTCTTTTATATTCACAGGTAATGAATTACAGATTTTTGAGCCTTTTATGTGCATTGCGTTTTTACATAATGTGAGATGGACAGGAGGAACATCAAAGAGTGATCTGTGCCTTGTGTTGTGGTCATGTGTTCTGTTGAGGTTGGTAATTTATGTAACTGTACTTATGTGTAACTGTACCTGAATAAACTTACTTATTTAATTTAGTTTAGTTTAATATGTTTATTATGCACCCCATACCCATCTTGTGGGTGGCAGTCAAAAGATTACAGAGGTACATAATGGGTCCAGGGACTGAACCCCAAAGTTTGGATAGCTGAGCAAGTTAGTAAGTTTATTCAGGAATACACAAATACAGTTACATAGTGACTTATTTCCATTGGGGATATAAAGGTAATGAACTCCAGGTAGATATGGTCACAATGATGACAAGTTACAAAGGTATTTACAGATTACAGAGGTACATGAGTCCAGAGACATCTCTTAACCTTAACATATTTTTTTTCCAGGACTGGGTAAGGCGTGAGCTTGAGTGGTCCTTAACACCCCCAGCAACAACACCATCAAGAAGTATCACGTGTCTAGAAGAATTCCAGTGTAATTTACAATACCATTTAATACCATAAACCTTTGAACAAACTACGCATATAGGGAAGAAAGAGGGAAGTCTTCAGAAACATGGGTAAAAAAGGCAAACTCGGGAAGAAGCGGCAGGATAAATTCTACCACAGAGCTAAAATAGCAGGTTGGTATCTTTTTCAAACTCAGCTGTTGCTAATTTATGAAAATTTATATTGTAGTAAGTTCTAAGGGTGAGGTGCCTTCACTCTCGTTAAGAGCTCATGATTCAAGGAATTCAAGCTACCCTCCACTTGGATCAAACCTGATTGCTTCCCTTATTATCTAGGCGCTGTATAACCTTTACTGATTTTTACTAAAGAAGAATATTTTTTATTTAAGTCATAAAAAGAAGAACAGTAGTTATACATGAATTACAGTGTTATATATGAATCTTATTTTATATTATCCGCCATTTGGTTATTGCCCATAAATTCTCTGTTGGGTTGAGGTCAGGAGAGTTTCCAGGAATATTTAAAATGCTTAGCCAGCTCTCTTTTATGAGTGTCAGCATTTTTATGGAAGTGTAGCATGGAGCAAGATCCTGCTGGAAAATGCCTTCTCCATCAGCTGGACCCATTACGTACCTCTGTAATCTGTAAATACCTTTGTAACTTGTCATGATTGTGACCAGACTTACCTGGAGTTCATTACCTTTGTAAATTGTGAGTTCATTACCTTTGTAAATTGTGAGTTCATTACCTTTGTAAATTGTGAGTTCATTACCTCTGTAACTTGCTCAGCTATCAAAACTTTGGAGTCCAGTCCCTGGACCAATTATGTACCTCTGTAATCTTTTGACTACCGCCCACAGGATGGGTATGGGGTGCATAATAAACATTAAACTAACTAACTAACATCAGCTGGTTTTCTTAAGATTCTTCATTCTATTTCTTATGATGACCTTGTTATCATAAGGTGTTGTCTTGCATTTTCCTCCACATCTTCCTTGACGCAGCACTCCACAGTCACAGTGGACTTTGCTAGGCTCAAATTTTTGATGATCTGTCTGATACTGATTGAAATCAGCGTGTTTTCTAAGAGCTACAATACATGTACACTTCCTAGGTGTAACATCCATCAAGAATTTCAGTAATAATTATGAACTGAAGGGAAAATTTGGCAAAACCTCATTCACTCTTGGAACACACTTGCAGGAATAGCCTTACAGAACAATAGCTGTCGTAACACTGACGAGAGTCGCAGGGTAACACCACAGTTGGATGTGATTGCTAGGAGTTGGTAGCAGATTCTTCTGAAGAGAAAAGAATGCAAACTACATTAAACCAAATACTAAGACATATTATGAGATAATCACCAAATTTTCCTCTGTCCAAATTAATTTGCACTGTGTGTGTGCATGTGTGTGCGTGCTCATGTGCATGCGTGGACATGTGTGTGTGTGGATACATATGTGTGTATGCGTGTGTTCAAGCGCTTGTGTGTGTGTGCATGCTCATGTGTACGTACATGCTCACCTAATTGTGGTTGTAGGGGTCGAATCATAGCTCCTGGCCCCACCTCTTCACTGGTCACTGTGTTTGTGTTTGTGTTTTGGGGGCACCAGCACTAGTACATATATCTTTTCTTTTTTCAACACACCAGTCATATCCCACCGAGGCATGTGACCCAAAAAGAAAAAAAAACACTTTCACCATCATTCACACATAATCACCGTCATTGCAGAGGCGGTCAGATATGACAGTTTATATGTCACTCCAAACAGTCAGTATCCCAAACTTCCCCTTCAAAGTGCAGGCATTGTACTCCCTAACTCCAGGACTCATGTCTGGTGTACCAGTTACCCTGAATTTCTTCTCAAAAATATGCATGCTAATTAGATGTAATCACAACATATGTGTAAAATAAGAATTCTGTATATTACTGTATATGAAATGTAAAATTTATGTTGCCTTGTTGCTGTGGAAAAAGTGCAAAATGCTATATAGTAGCTATTGTATTTGCAATTATTTTCCAGGTTTCCGAGCGCGATCTGCCTACAAGTTAATGCAACTAAATACGAAATATGAATTCCTTCAAAGGTCTCAGGTCTGCATTGATTTATGCGCTGCTCCAGGATCATGGATGCAGGTTGCCAAGAAGTACATGCCTGTATCCTCCATCATTGTTGGTGTTGACTTGTATCCTATCAAGCCCATTCCAGGGACACTCTCTATTGTAGGAGACATTACCACAGAAAAAGTGAGGCAGGAACTGAAAACAACCTTGAAAACATGGAAGGCAGATTTAGTTCTTCATGATGGTTCCCCAAATGTTGGTGTGTATTTATACTTTTTATTATTTTGTAACATGCAGTTATACCCTTTGCTCTGACGGGGTTATGTATAATAAATTTAGTCATCATCTGTTCTGTGCATCCATGTGTACTAGTTAATTTAGTGTTTCAAGGTTGAGGCATGCCAAGGCACCATGTCAAATTGATATATCAGTAGTTTTCCATATGGTAGTAAACCAATTATTTTTTACCTTTTTTTAAGTACCTGTACCCCAAATTGTGTTTTTTTCTTATTTTTCATAGCCTTTGTCAAAAATAATTTATTTGCTACATTAAGTAAACTTAGCAGAAATAGTTATATGTAGCAAATACAAGAATTTAATAGTATTATACAGGTTTGTTTGTATCATTATGGGCTTGTGGGCCTTAATTAAACCTCTTCACTTAATCCCTGTCACCCAACCCCCAGTTACTGCTTGCTTCTGCCGGCCAGTCTACCCCAGTCCTTTCCCTTAGCCACACATTACCCTCTTCACTGAGTGTCCCAAGTGCACAGGATTTTTCAAGACAGTATGTAGTGACCTTATTAAGAGGTTTCACATTAACAGTACATAGAAGCTTACAACAGTGCATTCTCTTATTCAGAGGAGCATATTAGGCTAGTTTTATTTTCATTGGGGTGTTCCATATATTTGTTGAATGACTATTCAGCCAGAAGTTATAATGTGTTGTATAGCATGTTCTTTTTCTGTCAGTTTTTACGCAACTTTTTTAATGAATCTAAAATAATTTGTAGATGTCAGGTCATAAGCCTATCTTAACTAAAAATACAATATTTCATTGATCTACTTGGTATATTGATAATACTAATTAATTTTCAGAATTAGTACTGGTATCAAAAGAGAACAAGAGTTAAAAATGTTAACTTGATTTTTGTTATCTGTGACAGGTCAGAACTGGTTGCATGATGCCTATCAGCAGAACCTACTGGTTCTTCACTCCTTTAAGTTGGCTTGCGAGTTTCTGCAGAAAGGTGGTTGTTTTCTTACAAAGGTGTTCCGCTCCAAGGACTACTTCAACCTTGAATATATCTTTAAAAAACTCTTCAAAAAGGTAAAGAAATCAATATGGTATATTGAACTGTAAATGGGAGTGCATGGGTACTTAGGAAAGAAATAGCAGAGGATTTTACAATACAGCCTCTCCTCACTTAATGATGGAGTTCCGTTCCTGAGACCATGTCGTTAAATGAATTTGTTGCTAAGTGAGGAGCATACTATAATGGTAGTGAGTTTGTGTCAACCATCTTTGATATTATTTTAATATCACCTTTGCACCATTTATAACATTTCTGGTATATTTTTAAGTGTTTATACAGTAGTGTACTGTCTACTGAAATAAACAAAAGAGAGGAAATCAGCTCTAATATACATTATTTAGGACTGCATACTGGTCAGAGAGCCCGTGGTAAGTCTGAGGCGTCGGTAAACACGTACGCCGCTAAGTGATGAGAGGCTGTATACTGTATATCATGGCTAGCTACTGAGGAGTAACTACGCTCTAGTTACCTCTAGGCTAGTATAACATAGCAGAAAGCTTTCTTGTTTTATAATTCTTTCGGACATGCTGGCAGCATGAACTGAGCTCACATTGCATCTTGTTTACACAATTTCTTATACTCATAAAAGTGCAGAATCTCAGTTTGTAGTTTCATCTATGTACTTTCTCCAGTTATTTGCAGTCAAATAATTGTATAGTTGATAACCAAGCTTCACCATAATATTAGACTTCAAACATTATTAATACAGTGGACCCCTGCATAACGATCAGCTCCCAACTCGACCAATTATGTAAGTGTATTTTTGTAAGTGCTTTTGTAGGTGTATTTTTGGGGGTCTGAAACGGACTAATCTAATTTACAATATCTCTTATGGGAACAAATTCGGTCTATAACGGCACCCAAACAGACTTCTGGATTGAAATAATATCGTTATGCGGGGTCCACTGTATTTGCAACAGAGAAATTTTTCTGCCCAAGTAATATACAGCCTCTCCTCACTTGGCGACATACTCTTTTACTGATGCCTTAAACATATGACGGGCTCTGACCAGCATTCATACCATAATGTATATTAGAGCTGATTTCCTCTATTCTGTTTATTTCAATACAGTGGACCCTCAGTTATCAGCCATAATCCGTTTCAGAAGGTTGGCTTAAAACCGAAATGGCTGAAAACCGAAATAATAATTCCCATAAGAATTAATGTAAATACAATTAATCGGTTCCAGACAAAAATATTCACAAAAAAATAATTTTTTAAAGATTAATTATAGTTTTACATACACAAAACAATGAGAACTAAATAAAATAAATACATGAACAATTAAATCAGTATTACATACCTTTATTGAAGACTCTTCTTGGCTTATAGGAAGATAGGGAGGAAGAGAGATGGAGGATTATTGTTTGAAAGGGGAATCCCCCTCCATAATGACTTCAGGTAACAAGTCTTCCCTTCTTTGTCTTTTAATGCCACTAGGACCAGCTTGAGAGTCACTGCACACCTGTTGCACAAAATATCTGTCCAGAGGGCTCTGTTTCTGGCTTCTTTTTAAGATTCCTCTGAAGTGGGACAAGATTTTGTCACTGAACATGTTGCAGATATGGCTTGTTTCAGCTTGGTCAGAGTGATATTTTTCAACAAAACCTTGCACCCTACTCCACACTGCACAAATCTCCTTAATCTCAGAAGAAGGCACCTCCTTCTCTCCCTCTTCCTCCTCCTCTGAAGCAAGTTCCTCAGCTGTGGTCTGTTGCTGTTCCAGATGAAGCTCTTGCAGCTCTAAAGTGGTTAGCTCTTCCCTGTGGTCCTCCACCAACTCTTCCACATCCTTGCCACTAACTTCCAACCCCATGGACTTTCCCAATGATACAATACATTCCACAACAGGCATAGGGTCCTCAGGGTCAGCCCCAAACCCTTCAGAATCCTTCTCTTGGATACAGTCTGGCCACAATTTTCTCCAAGCAGAGTTCAAAGTCCTGGAAGTCACTCCCTGCCAAGCCTTACCTATAAGGCTTATGCAGTGGAGGATACTTAAGTGATTCCTCCAGAACTCTCTTAGGGTCAAATGAGTGTCCGAGGTCACTTCAAAGCAACTTTGAAACACTGCTTTGGTGTAGAGTTTTTTGAAGTTAGAAATGACCTGCTGGTCGATGGGCTGGATGAAAGGAGTGGTGTTAGGAGGCAAGAACTTCACTGTTATAAAACTGAAGTCTCTAGACAATTGGTCTTCCAAGTCTGGAGGATGAGCAGGAGCATTGTCCAGTACCAGGAGGCACTTGAGTGGCAATTTACATTCCAGGAGGTATTTTTTTCACATTGGGGCCAAACACATCACTGACCCACTCTTTGAAAATGTACCTTGTAATCCATGCCTTATTAGCTTTCCACATCACACACAATTTACTCTTGAAGACATTGTTTTTTGTTGAACACACTGGGATTTTCAGTGATACACCAGTAAAGGCTTCACTTTAAAATCCTCACTAGCCTTAGCACAGAACAAAAGAGTAAAGGGCAGTATAACTATTTTTTTTTTTTTTTTTTTTTTTTTAACCATCAGATTTCTTTCATTGTTGGTGCACAAGACGATGTATTTACACTATTTACTGTAAATATTTATCAATAAGATATCCCAAACAACAACTGAAAAAAGAATGATTTACTGAAAATATCCTTTGGCAGGATGGTAGTCCTATATGGCATGACGTAAGGTTGTTTGGGCACTTGGTACCGAGAGAACAATGCTAATACGATTTTTTAATGATGCACTTTCCTCTAAATATCTTATCTTTATTCCACAAGAAAATAAAGTTTGTTAGTTCTTAGACTTTTGCAAAAAATCTGCCCTTTACTCCCACATAAATCCCAAAATATTTGGAATATTTCCAAAAGTGCACCATTAAAATTAAGAACAATCATTATTTTACAATTTCTGTGAATATTATCCTACTTAATTAAGTAATAAAGGCGTAGTAAAGCGAAATAAGTGAATAAGTTACTTCCGAGATATTATAGGCCTGAAACGCGGCTGGCCCGCTGTCTCGAAAATTTTTTTTTGTTTGTTTTTGCGAAAATCACATTTGTTTTGGTGGTTTCCTTAGTAAACTGATGTTCTACTGCAGTTATCCTCTTCAAAACACCTTTGTCTCTTACTGAAGGCCAAAGAATACGACATCGAATTTGCTGGTGGACTCTCGCCATATTATGGCCTGTTTTATTCAGTCTAGAGTATATAGCATGTTTGTTATTTATAGTGTTTATTATATCATATTAGATCAATTCTGATAGATAAATAAGCCGTTGATATAAGCGTAATAATGAAGTGATTTCTCCTGCCGCTCTCTGGAGCGGGAATACTACCGGTGTTCCTAGATGGTTCCTGATTGGCTAGAAGTCTACGGATAAGCTCCGCCTACTTTTTTATGATGCCAAATAGTCAATTATTATATTAGAAAGAATAATGCAAGAAAAAGCGATAAAAAACAAGGAAAAAATTCCAAAAAATATACGGGCTAAGAGCAGACGTGCTACGCACATCGCCGTCACCATACCTGATATAAATGACTATGATTTCTTGTAGAAACGTCGTTGAACATTGATTCTGGTACCATTGTGTTGTCAAAGAGTTAAACTATTTTTCTATATGAATACTCAACTTCTATAATTTTTCAAAAAAAAATTCGCCCGTGCGCCGCGCACCTCATTCCGCCCCTAAGCCTGTCTTTCATAGGCTTGTGTCCTGGTGGTACCTTTTCCTCCTGAGTAATGTAGGTCCTCTTTGGCATTTTCTTCCAAAAGAAGCCTGTTTCATCACAATTGAACACTTGTTGGGGTTGGAATTCTTCAGCCTGTATGTACTCCTTGAATTCCTGCACAGATTTTTCAGCCACACATTTGTCAGAACTTGCGACCTTGCCATGCTATACCACTACACTTCTTAAATCTCTCAAACCAGCCTTTGCTGGCCCTAAATTCACTAACATCAGCACTTGTTCTAGGCATTTTCTTTACAAGATCTTCATGCAACTGCCTTGCCTTCTCACAAATAATGGATTCCACTACACTGTCTCCCGCTAATTGTTTTTTGGAGATCCACAACAGCAATAGCTACTCCATATATTTCATTATTGCTTACCTTTGTTTTGTTAGCACATTTACTCCTTTCACCACATCAGCTTCCTTGATTTGTTCTTTCTTTGCCAGGATAGAAGTGATTGTTGATTTGTTTTTCCCATACATCCTGGCAAGCTCAAGCACTCGAACACCACTCTCACATTTTTCAATAACTTCTTTCTTAACCCTTTCAGGGTCGAGAGGCCCTTTCCTAAACTTGTTCTCAGGGTTGAAAAATTTTTGGGAGAAAATTTTTTTTTTTCTCATGAAATGATAAGAGAATCTTTTCCCGATCATAATGACACCAAAAATATGAAATTTGATGGAAAACTTATGGAATTATGCTCTTGCGAAGTTAGCGGTCTCAACGATGTTTACGCATCAGTGATTTCGCCCACTTTGAGCCCAATTTTTGGCAAATTCCAGTGTACAAGTCGACAAAAATCCTAACTATTTCACTAGAACTCCATTTTTTCTATCGAATGAATGCAAGAAACCACCCGTTTACCGATTTCAACTATCCAATAAAGTGGTCAGAAATTGGCAATTTTGCCAATTTCAGACAGATTTCAAAAGATGCCAATTTCCAAATAGGGTCCAGAATAAACAATACAGACATTCCTGGCACTAAAATAAAATTTTCTCTGTTCATTAGTCATGTCTCCAGGCCCCTCTTACATTTCTTTTGCAGACTACTGCATTAGTGTAGAAATGGTATAAATAATATCAGCGCACTTGTGAAAGAATATTAGACTCACTACTTGACATGTATTGGACGCGTGGCATGATTTGTTTACTTTTGAACTTCAGCAAAAATTGAACATTTCTGCTACTTTGAGATCTATTTCAAGGTACTTTTCGTTGTGAAACCAATCAAAATCATCTCAATTTCTGTAATATGTCTTCCATTCTATAAAATGAGACCAGGAAAACTAGAATACAACCATAAATACCATACGAAAATACACTGCAAAGTCACTGTTTTAAACCAAAAACATGGCCAAAGTTTTTTTTATTCTCATTATGCACTGTGTGCTGCAGGATATTTTTTATACTGTGCACACTGACCACATAGACCCATTCTTTCATATGTAGGCCTACCAGCTTTCTCTCGCTGGATTTGAAGGCGCTAGAATTTACGCATACTAGTACGTCAATAACCCTGGTGCGTAAGACGTACTAGTACGTTGGAAACCCTGAATGGGTTAAATTCCATCGTGTTTCTCACTTTCTTTACCAAAGGAACTTTACTAAGAACTTTCTTTGGGGCCATGGTTACTTATTTCGCAGTTTCACTTAATCAGTAACCACCAACAACAATGGATTATAGCAAAATGTTTGGATGAATTAACAGAAGCTTCCTCATTCGCCCAGAGACACAGCCAGACTGACATGCAAGTGGCAGGCTGCCAGTGGGGTGACGCGTCCCATACGGCTGATAAGCGAAATAACAGCTGATGACCGAGTTGGCCTATAGTCGGAACGACTGATAACCGAGGGTCCACTGTATGCAGTACACTATTGTATAAACATTTAAAATATACCAGAAATGTTATAAATTGTGCAAAGGTGACATTAAAACAATATCAAAGATGGTTGACACAAACTCACTACATTTATAGTATGCTCTTCACTTAGCGACGAATTCGTTTAATGACATGATCTTAGGAATGGAACTCCATTGTTAAGTGAGGAGAGGCTGTATATACAAAATCTTGCTTCCTTTTTAAAAGATGAATGTCAGCAAATAAGATTGAAAGAAATAGTTATGGACTGTTTTCAGTTATTCAGATTTTGTAATATACGTACTTTTATTGGATGCAATACTGCATATTCTAATTCCTTCCTTTCCTCAAAGTTAGCTCAACTTAACTTTTCCTATATTCCCAGGTGGAAGCTACGAAGCCACAAGCCTCACGTTATGAGTCGTCAGAAATCTTTTTGTTATGCCAGGGATATCGGGATCCAGCAAAGATTGACCCTCAGTTTTTCTCACCAAATCATGTGTTCCAAGAATTAAATCTAGAACCCAACACAAAGCTCAATCTTTTAAAGCCACATAAGGTTAGTATCTTTTCATGCACTGTGGTGTAAAAAGTTTATTTTCAGTTTATTGCAGTTGCATTGTCTTTTGAATTTCACACTATTTTGTTTTGATTTTTTTATTAATGTAGTTACCTGTATGGTACTCCAGATACTACAGTGGGAAACCTGATTGCACTTTTGGGATTAGGTTTTGAATAATTGACCCCCCAAAAAATTCTCTCCACAGACTCTCCCAAAAGCTGAGGGATATCCTGAAGGAGCAACCACACTCTACAATAGAGTTCGTGTGTCGCAGTTTATCCATTCTTCAAACTTTGCTGAGGTTCTACAAGAGGCATCAGAGGTAATGGGCTAGAATATTTAGTGAAAAATCTATCACTGAATAAAAATAAGAAAATATGTATAGTATATTTTTAGTGTTGCTGTTCCACTTGGAAAAATTGTATATCTTTTATTCTTAGTGTTATTGAGCAGTATAATGTTTGTCCTTTACTAGTTGCATAAAGAATTTTTTTCTTAAATATATTTCATTGTTAACCATAGTACTTTTACTGCAGAGATAATGGTGATTAACCAGAAAATTCTGACAACCATTATGCAGTACAGTAGCTGCTGGTAGAGGTGAATTAAGAATATAGGAAGAATTAATTAATTAATAAAGGCTACTGTATTTTAGATTTTTTGTCATTTCTCTTTCAGCTTTACTTTGATGATGAAGCAATAAAAAATCACAAATTAACCACAGATGCCATAGTGGAGAACTGCAAGGACATTAAGGTATTAGGCAGAAAGGATTTACGACAACTTTTGACCTGGAGAAAAAGTATCAAGGTGAGAAATAAATACATTGCAGTATATTGTAAATTGTACACTTCTGTAAAGGCAGCTAGTGTGCAAATGATGGTGAATGTGTTTTCTTTAGGTTGTCTTAATAGGATATGACTGATGTGTTAAAAAAAATTATTATTTTTCTAGCATCATTAGTGTGAATAGGAGTAAGATAAAATCAAAGCTTAGTAAAGACAGAGACAACAATTTATATTTCCAGTGTATCAGTATGCAGTGTTGTGCAGATGTTTACTGGGTCTTTAGTGTATATGGTGGACATTCTGCATGCTAAATATGAGATAATTTTTGAGATGTTGCTAGTTTTGTAATTTCCTACCTGATGGCATATTAGTGTATGTAAATCCAATTGTAATTGGTAGTAGGTTGGTAGACAGCAAGCACTCAGGGAGACATAACCGTCCTGCCAAGTGAGTGTACAATGGAAACCTGTAATTGTTTTACATGATGGTAGGATTGCTGGTGTCTTTTTTCTGTCTCATAAACATGCAAGGCTTCAGGTACATCTTACTACTTCTTCTTACACTTAGGGCACATGTACAAGCATATATATAAACACACCACTCTGGGTTTTCTTCTATTTTCTTACTAGTTCTTGTTTATTTCCTCTTATCTCCTTGGAAAAGTGGAACAGAATTCTTCCTCTGTAAGCCATGCGTATCGTAAGAGGCGACTAATATACCAGGAGCAAGGGGCTAGTAACTCCTCCTGTATACATTACTAAATTTAAAAAGAGAAACACATGTTTTTCTTTTTAGGTTACCCTGCCTCAGTGGGATATGACTGATTTGCTGAAAAAAAAAATCCATTTTGTTCTTAGTTCTTATTAGACAATCACCTTTGTATAGTGTTAGTGCCAAATCAAGCAAAGTATTCAAAAGCAAGTTTTGTGATAGTTACTGAAACATGTAGGAAGAAAGAGATATACTGTATTTACAGCTACCTTGTTCTCAAGATTGATGATTCATGTTAAACACTTGACAAGAAAGAAAATTACTGTAATTCATTTGTTTTAAAATTTTTCTGTATATTAAACAGACAATGTTTTGAGTTGGATGCTGTTGTTACTGACAGTTTATTAGTAAGGTGAATAAATTAACTCAGTCATGTAAATGGATATTTTCTTTCAAGTCATTTACAAGTGGATGACAGTAAACCCTTGAATTAACAAACCTCAATTTATTAATGCACTTTGGAAATACAGGACAAAATCCTCTGGAATTTTTAATTCTATTTTTAATTCTTCCTCACACAAAAAATCAAATTTTACCCTATTTCTTGGATAATAAATTATAACCAGGAATGATTGGTCTTGGTTTATAGCATTCCAATAATTGAATTAGACCTAAGAAAAACTTAGAAAACAGACCTGGGGGGGAGGGAGGTTGTGTTGAGGGTCCTTACCCATCCTCAAAAAAAAGATAATAGTATTTCAACTACTTTGAGGCTGATTTCAAGCTGTTGTCAGTCCTGGAATATGTAGTATGTCTTACAATCTATCAAATGATACCAAGAAAGAGTCAGTAAAACCACAAAATAATTCTAGAAAACACTTCGTCTTGACTTAAACTAGATACAAGGTCAGTTTTGCTCTTCCCATCATGCACTGCATGTGGCAGGATTCTTTTTTTTTCTACTGTGCATGCTCGCTGCACAAACCCATCTTTCGTATCTGGGCCAAAATTTACTGCTCTCGGCTTATCTGAGTGAGCTGAGGTCAAGACAGATCAACATGAGATACCTCGGCATCAGTAAAGTAGATCTACATGACAAACATCAAAAGGGTTAATGGTCACACGGTTTCTGTCACAAATATATGATTTCTTGTATGAGAAAGCATGTACTCTCATTCCATAATGTTCTAATTTGAGCAATGGGATGCTGTGGTCTACTGCATCGAAGTTTTTTTTTTATATAAAGGCATTCATACTCTCATTTTCAAGAGGAATAGATTAAGCCAAGCATTTTTATTATTACATCATTGTGCTTCATCGTGGCCTGAAGCCAAACTGACGTGGGCTAAGGATAGTGTATTTAATTATGAATTCATATGTTTATTTTGTAGGTAGTAGGTTGGTAGACAGCAACCGCCCAGGGAGGTACTACCGTCCTGCCAAGTGATTGTAAAACGAAAGCCGTAATTGTTTTACATGAATAGGATTGCTGGTGTCTTTTTTCTGTCTCATAAACATGCAAGATTTCAGTACGTCTTGCTACTTCTACTTACACTTAGGTCACACTACACATACGTGTTTTTTTTTTTTCAACAAGTCGGCCGTCTCCCACCGAGGCAAGGTGACCCAAAGAGAAAGAAAATCCCCAAAAAGAAAATACTTTCATCATCACTCAACACTTTCACCCCACTCACACACAATCACTGTTTTTGCAGAGGTGCCCAGAATACAACAGCTTAGAAGTACTGTATATATGTATAAAAATACACAATATATCTCTCCAAACTGCCAATATCCCAAACCCCTCCTTTAGAGTGCAGGCATTGTACTTCCCATTTCCAGGACTCAAGTCCGGTTATATAAAATAACCGGTTTCCCTGAATCCCTTCACTAAATATTACCCTGCTCACACTCCAACAGATCATCAGGTCCCTAATACCATTTGTCTCTATTCACTCCTATCTAACATGCTCATGCACGCTTGCTGGAAGTCCAAACCCCTCACCCACAACACCTTTACCTCCTCCCTCCAACCTTTTCAAGGACGACCCCTACCCCGCCTTCCTTCCCCTACAGATTTATATGCTCTCCATGCCATTCTACTTTGATCCATTCTCTCTAAATTACCAAACCACCTTAACAAACCCTCTTCAGCCCTCTGACTAATACTTTTATTAACTCCACACCTTCTCTTAATTTCCACACTTCGAATTTTCTGCATAATATTTACACCACATATTGCTCTTAGACAGGACATCTCCACTGCCTCCAACTGCCTCCTTGCTGCAGCATTACAACCCAAGCTTCACACCCATATAAGAGTGTTGGTACTACTATACTTTCATGCATTCCCTTCTTTGCCTCCATAGATAACATTTTTTGCCTCCACATATACCTCAATGCACCACTCACCTTTTTTCCTTCATCAATTCTATGATTAACTTCATCCTTCATAAATCCATCCACTGACACGTCAACTCCCAAATATCAGAAAACATTCTCTTCTTCCATACTCCTCCTCCCCAATTTGATATCCAATTTTTCTTTATCTAAATCATTTGATACTCTCATCACCTTACTCTTTTCTATGTTCACTTTCAACTTTCTACCTTTACACACATTCCCAAATTCATCCACTAACCTTTGCAATTTTTCTTTAGAATCTCCCATAAGCACAGTATCATCAGCAAAAAGTAACTCTGTCACTTCCCATTTTGTATTTAATTCCCCATAATTTAATCCCACCCCTCTCCCGAACACCCTAGCATTTACTTCTTTTACAACCCCATCTATAAATATCTTTAAACAACCATGGTGACATTACACATCCCTGTCTAAGACCTACTTTTACCGGGAAGTAGTCTCCCTCTTTTCTACACACCCTAACCTGAGCCTCACTATCCTCATAAAAACTCTTTACAGCATTTAGTAACTTACCACCTATTTGTACTTGCAACATCTGCCACATTGCTCCCCTATCCGCTCTATCAAATGCCTTTTCTAAATCCATAAATGCAATAAAACTTCCCTACCTTTATATAAATACTGCTCACATACATGTTTCAATGTAAACACTTGATCTACACATCCCCTACCCACTCTTAAACCTCCTTACTCATCCGAAATTCTACATTCTGTCTTGCCTCTAATTCTTTCAATAATAACCCTACTGTACACTTTTCCTGGTATACTCAGTAAACTTATTCCTCTTTAATTTTTACAGTCTCTTTTGTCCCCTTTCCCTTTATATAAAGGGACTATACACGCTCTCTGCCAATCCCTAGGTACTTTCCCCTCTTTCATACATTTATTAAACAAAAATACCAACCACTCCAACACTATGTCCCCCCCTGCTTTTAACATTTCTGTCATGATCCCGTCAGCTCCAGCTGCTTTACTCCCTTTCATTCTACGTAATGCCTCACGCACCTCCCCCACACTCACATCCTGCTCTTCTTCACTCCTAAAAGATGATATACCTCCCTGGCCAGTGCATGAAATTACTGCCTCCCTTTCTTCGTCAACATTTAAAAGTTCCTCAAAATATTCTCGCCATCTACCCAAAACCTCCATCTCCTCATCTACTAACTCCCCTTCTCTGTTTTTAACTTGTTTAACTCACTCCAAAAAATTTTCTTATTTTCATTAAAATTCCTTGACAGTACCTCTCCCACTCTATCATCCGCTCTCCTATTGCACTCTCTCACCACTCTCTTCATATACATGTACAAACATATATATACACACCCCTTTGGGTTTTCTGCTATTTTCTTTCTAGTTCTTGTTCTTGTTTATTTCCTCTTATCTCCATAGGGAAGTGGAACAGAATTCTTCCTCCGTAAGCCATGTGTGTTGTAAGAAGCGACTAAAATGCTGGGAGCAAGGGGCTAGTAACCCCTTCTCCTGTATAAATTACTAAATTTGAAAAGAGAAACTTTTGTTTTTCTTTTTGGGCCACCCTGCCTCGGTGGGATATGGCTGGTTTGTTGAAAGAAAAAGAAAGAATGTTTATTTTGTAGGTAGTAGGTTGGTAGACAGCAACCGCCCAGGGAGGTACTACCGTCCTACCAGGTAAGTGTAAAATGGGAACCTGTAATTGTTTTGCATGATGGTAGGATTGCTGGTGTCTTTTTTTCTGTCTCATAAACATGCAAGATTTCAGGTACGTCTTGCTACTTCTACTTACACTTAGGTCACACTACACATACATGTACAAGCATATATATACACACCCCTCTGGGTTTTCTTCTGTTTTCTTACTAGTTCTTGTTCTTGTTTATTTTCTTTTTTCTCCATGGGGAAGTGGAACTGAATTCTTTCTCCGTAAGCCATGCGTGTTGTAAGAGGCGACTAAAATGCCAGGAACAAGGGGCTAGTAACCCCTTCTCCTGTATATATTACTAAATGCAAAAGGAGAAACTTTTGTTTTTCCTTTTGGGCCACCCCACCTCGGTGGGATACGGCTGATGTGTTGAAAGAAAGATGATGTTTATTTATTATTTTTTTTAAATTTTAGACAATGGCAAGTTTAAAATTGTCTAATTATTGACTCTTGTTGAGTCACCACTTTTATAGACTGATATAACTCTTGGTAATTTAAGTATGTTAGGGAAACACTTGAGTGTCCTTTGATTTAGTGAAAAATCTTGCAATACTTGGTGATAGCACATGACGCTTTCTTGTATATTAATGGTGGTATATGCGCTTTGTTTCCGGCTGTATTCTTCAGTGAGGTAATTATTTGAGTAATTTTGGTTGAAGTAGTTGGAGATAGATTCAGCAAGCTTGGATGGTTACCAGTGAGGTAATCCTTAACTTGTGGTCCATTAAATCAAGGGTTTACCTCTGAAGGAGGGGTGTTAATGTTGCAGTTTAAAAACTGTAGTGTAAAGCACCCTTCTGGCAAGACAGTGATGGAGTGAATGATGGTGAAAGTTTTTCTTTTTCGGGCCACCCTGCCTTGGTGGGAATCGGCCAGTGTGATAATAATAAAAAAAAAAACCTCCGTAATTTAAGAAATGCTTACTTGTTATATTTAGACAAAATTTTCTACAGGCTGATCTACAAAAAGCAGCAGAAGAAAAAGAAAAGGAACTGGCTGCTGATGAACAACAAACCAAAGTTCAAGATCAAGAACAGCACAAAGAAGACAAGGAGATGGACAAACTGGACCAAGAGATTCTGGACCTGAAGGTGAGAAAATATTAACATGTTATGGGTTGGAACTAAATATTAGGAAAAAATAGTCATGAGGTTTCTTCCCATGATAGGGCCACTAGAAACTTGTGCATATCATTTACACAATTTGATCAAAATAAAACTAGGACGATAATGATGTATCTTTAGGTACATTGGCTAGGGTAGAATTATATAGTTGATGCTAGCTTTGTATAATGTTTACAATGTAATTTCTATTTATATAGGTTTATTAAAAAAAATCTTGCTCTAAAGATGATGATACTGTAATTTTTTCTGCATACACTACACTGCTACAATTAATTACGGAATGGAAATTCAAACAAAAATTAGTTCTGAATACAGTTACTTGGTAGGAAATTTGAAGCCCAATATTTTTTTTTACCTTATTAGAGTACTGACAACACTTGAAGTTAATTAGGTTATATTTATTTTAAGTGCATTACATCTTTATGGAGTGTGTGTAAAGGTAGAAAGTTGAAAGTGAACATAGAAAAGAGTAAGGTGATGAGGGTATCAAATGATTTAGATAAAGAAAAATTAAATATCAAATTGGGGAGGAGTAGTATGGAAGAAGTGAATGTTTTCAGATACTTGAGAGTTGTCGTGTTGGCGGATGGATTTATGAAGGATGAGGGGAAAAAAGGTGAGTGGTGCATTGAGGTATATGTGGAGGCAAAAAATGTTATCTATGGAGGCAAAGAAGGGAATGTATGAAAGTATAGTAGTACCAACACTCTTATATGGGTGTGAAGCTTGGGTTGTGAATGCTGCAGCAAGGAGGCGGTTGGAGGCAGTGGAGATGTTCTGTCTAAGAGCAATGTGTGGTGTAAATATTATGCAGAAAATTCGGAGTGTGGAAATTAGGAGAAGGTGTGGAGTTAATAAAAGTATTAGTCAGAGGGCTGAAGTGGGTTTGTTGAGGTGGTTTGGTCATTTAGAGAGAATGGATCAAAGTAGAATGACATGGAGAGCGTTTAAATCTGTAGGGGAAGGAAGGCGGGGTAGGGGTCATCCTCGAAAAGGTTGGAAGGAAGGGGTAAGGGAGGTTTTATGGACAAGGGACTTGGACTTCCAGCAGGCGTGTGTGAGCATATTTGATAGGAGTGAATGGAGACGAATGGTATTTGGGACCTGATGATCTGTGGGAGTGTGAGCAGGGTAATATTTAGTGAAGGGATTCAGGGAAACCGGTTATTTTTATATAGCCAGACTTGAGTCCTGGAAATGGGAAGTACATTGCCTGCACTCTAAAGGAGGGGTTCGGGATATTGGCAGTTTGTAGGAATATGTTGTGTATCTTTATACATATATGCTTCTAAACTGTTGTGTTCTGAGCACCTCTGCAAAAACAGTGATTATGTGTGAGTGAGGTGTAAATGTTGAATGATGATGAAAATATTTTCTTTTTGGGGATTTTCTTTCTTTTTGGGTCACCCTGCCTCGGTGGGAGATGGCCGACTTGTTGAAAAAAAAAAAAATCTTTATACCTATTTCTTTCTTGTCTGCTGACTATTCTGATGCCAAAACAGTACTTCATATTGTACTGTATTTTATGCACTTAGTACATAGATGAATAATTCATACACTGTTATGATAAATAATTACAGCATTATTTCTAATTATTATTATTATTGAATACAAGTACCCTCCAACTTACAACCGAGCTTGGTACCGACCAGCCGGTTGTAAGTCAAAATGGACACAAGTCGAATCTTAGAAAATTGCCAACATACTGAGTAGGGCATAATGTCAAATCTTTGCTATGTAAAGTACCCACATAATATCGTATGTTACTTTTTACTAAATATTTTACTACTGTATATCAAGCTCACAGCTATTGTAATGATTTTATTTTATTGTTTTGTTTTTGTACTATTGTAAGTACGAGTGGTTGCATGTTGAGCAGGTCGTAAATTGGATGGTACTTGCATTAGTTATTTTATACATAGTATATAAATTGTTCTGTACAAGGGGATTGGCTTTCTGTATACTTTATTTTCTGGCATTATTCAGTGTGCATTCAGTATGTGCCTCTTTTCTCATATTTGATAGTGTTTTTATCCTCCTCTAGACAGAACAAGCCCGAGAGGAGAAACGTACAAGAAAGCGGAAGTTGAAGGAGAGAAAGAAGCTCGAAGAGAAAATGCGTTTGAATGCTCTTATTCCTGGAGACGTTGGACCAACAGTGAATACTGAAGCTGGACTGTTTAATCTTGAAAAGCTATCTCAGGCAAGATGTGATTTTTATCTTTTTTTGTATATAAAACATTAATGTGGATGTCATGGCATTTGGGGGAAACATCTCGAAAGTTTTAGAAATACAGTGGTCCCTCAATAATCGTCCATAATCCATTCCTGGAAGTAGGACTATTATCGAAATGGACGATTTTCGAATCAATTTTCCCCATAAGAAATAATGTAAATCCAATTAATTCGTTCCAGACACCCAGAAATATCAACAAATTTTTTTTTTTTTACCTAAAAGATAGATTTACATGCACAAAAGAATGAACATTCAACATGACAGTTACCTTTATTGAAGGCTGTTGTTGATGAATGGAAGACAGGGTGGAGGAGAGAGGGAAGAGAGGTTATTTGGAAGGGGAATCCCCCTCCATAAGGACTCTAGGGCACTAATAAAATGTATAAATGAACATTGGTAATAGGGGTAGTTGATGAGTGGAACGATCTGCCAAGTAGGGTGATCGAAGCTAAAACATTGGGTAGTTTCAAATTTAGGTTGGATAAATACAATTAAATTAAATTATGGGGAATCAAATTCAGAATGGGAATTGACACAGTTACTTTTTGCTGATGATACTGTGCTTATGGGAGATAATAAAGAAAAATTGCAAAGGTTAGTGGATGAGTTTGAGAATGTGTGTAAAGGTAGAAAGTTGAAAGTGAACATAGAAAAGAGTAAGGTGATGAGGGTATCAAATGATTTAGATAAAGAAAAATTGGATATCAAATTGGGGAGGAGGAGTATGGAAGAAGTGAATGTTTTCAGATACTTGGGAGTTGACGTGTCGGCGGATGGATTTATGAAGGATGAGGTTAATCATAGAATTGATGAGGGAAAAAAGGTGAGTGGTGCGTTGAGGTATATGTGGAGTCAAAAAACGTTATCTATGGAGGCAAAGAAGGGAATGTATGAAAGTATAGTAGTACAACACTCTTATATGGATGTGAAGCTTGGGTGGTAAATGCAGCAGCGAGGAGACGGTTGGAGGCAGTGGAGATGTCCTGTCTAAGGGCAATGTGTGGTGTAAATATTATGCAGAAAATTCGGAGTGTGGAAATTAGGAGAAGGTGTGGAGTTAATAAAAGCATTAGTCAGAGGGCAGAAGAGGGGTTGTTGAGGTGGTTTGGTCATTTAGAGAGAATGGATCAAAGTAGAATGACATGGAAAGCATATAAATCTATAGGGGAAGGAAAGAGGGGTAGGGGTCGTCCTCGAAAGGGTTGGAAAGAGGGGGTAAAGGAGGTTTTGTGGGTGAGGGCTTGGACTTCCAGCAAGCGTGCATGAGCGTGTTAGATAGGAGTGAATGGAGACGAATGATACTTGGGACCTGACGATCTGTTGGAGTGTGAGCAGGGTAATATTTAGTGAAGGGATTCAGGGAAACCGGTTATTTTCTATAGTGGGACTTGAGTCCTGGAAATGGGAAGTACAATGCCTGCACTTTAAAGGAGGGGTTTGGGATATTGGCAGTTTGGAGGGATATGTTGTGTATCTTTATACGTATATGCTTCTAAACTGTTGTATTCTGAGCACCTCTGCAAAAGCAGTGATAATGTGTGAGTGTGGTGAAAGTGTTGAATGATGATGAAAGTATTTTCTTTTTGGGGATTTTCTTTCTTTTTTTGGGTCACCCTGCCTCGGTGGGAGACGACCGACTTGTTGAAAAAAAAAAAAAATACACGAGTGAGAGGGGTTGGATTTGAGTCGGACTTGCACCTGAGCTTATTGCTTGGGTAGCATTTGTTCTGTTAGTGGGTTGGATTTGTGAAGGACTAGCCTAATATGGGCCAACAGGCTTATTGCAGTGTTCCTCCTTTCCAATGTTCTAAAAGCTATGGCTTGGGTAGTTTCAAATTTAGGTTGGATAAATACACAAGTGAAAGGGGTTTTATTTGAGTCGGACTTGCACCTGAGCTTATTGCTTGGGTAGCATTTGTTCTGTTAGTGGGTTGGATTTGTGAAGGACCAGCCTAGTATGGGCCAGCAGGCCTGTTCCAGTGTTCCTACTTTCTTAAGTTCTTATTTAACATCACACTTACCAGTAGGGTGATCGAGGCTAGGACCTTGGGTAGCTTTAAGAAGAGATTGGACAAATATACGAGTTGGAGGAGCTGAGTTTGATTTGTGTCATTGGGTACGGGTGTACACGGTGACGTGTACTTAGCTCTGTGAAGACCTGTTTGTGTGCTCTATGTGAATCTGAACCAGGATGCCCTCTCTTGAGCAACTTTACCAGCAGCTGAGAGAAGAGCTCAGAGTTGCTAAGATGGAGATACGGCGATTAACGGAGGAGAACAAGAGGATTCGTAGTAATCCTTCTGTTGTGAGTCCCCAGGTTAAGAGGGGAGCTTGGTCAGTGGCCGGGCAACATGGAACCAAGCTGAAGATCAAGAAAACGGTTGGAGAGGCAGAAACAACGAAAACCAGAAGACTACCCGTGGAAACTTCCAACCCATTCTCGGTGCAACCTGACGAATGTGAGTGTTCTACGGGGAAAATGCCACAACAAACCCACCAAAGAAGCATTGGCAACGTGAGTGAGACATCCCTAGAAACCCCAACGAAGACCATCGAGAACGCTTGACGAATTCTACAAGGGGTTTTAATGCTACCTGGCGAATGTGAGTCGACTACTCGGAGCATAAACGACGGACGACGCCAAGGAAGGTAAAAACTTTTGTTGTTGTTGGGGATAGCCAGATTGGGTTTACATGGATAGGGCATTCTGCTTGAAGGATAGGAGTAGGAGGCAGAGAGTGTGTTTTCCTGGGCTGGGATGAAGGATATTGTTAGCCGTCTGGATGACATCATGAGAGGTAATGGAGCAATCCTATTATCTGTCTCAGTCCCGGGAGGCAACGATGTTGGCAGACGTAGGAGTGAGGACCTGATTAGCAGGTATAGGTCAGCAATAGAGATAATTAGGGGGAAGGGGTGGGAAACCTGTCATATGTGGCATTTTGCCAAGGAGAGGAGTTGGAAATGAATGGTTGTCCAGAGAAATTTGGTGTCAATTGCTGGCTGGACAAATTTACTGTAAGGAAAATGCGGTAACATTCTTGACAGCTGGGACCTCTTCTATGGCAGAAATGACATGTACGCCAGGGATGGGTTCACTTATCTGGGTGTGGGGTGGGAGCACTGGCCAACGCAGTGAGGGAGCTGTTAGGTCTTTAACTAGGAATAGTTAGTGGTATGGGTTTGCGAGAAACTGTGAAGTCTCAGGGAAAGTAATATGAGTACTAGGAAACTAGTAATAGGCAAAATAAGGTGGATATTGGAAGCCAGTAGCACTAATGACAAGGACAGTAATAGGTTAGTGGAATAACAGAAAGGAGCAGGAAGAGAAAAGAGAGAGGAGGGTCTTTAAGTATTTATTACACAAATAGTTCGCAGTGCTAGAATAAGATGGACGAGTTGAGACAATTGCTAGTGCAGGTAACATAGATGTATTTGCCATTACTGAGACGTGGTTTAATTCAAAAAGTCGGGACATGCCTGCAGAATGTCACATTCAGGGTTTTAAATTTTTCCCAAAGTAGAATAGAGTATCGGAAGGGGGGGTGGGGTGGCACTGTATGTCCGAGACGCTTGAACTGTTGCATAAAAACGGGTATTAAGTCTGAAGTAACAAATACAGAGTCTGTTTGGATAGAATTTTCAGAGGGGCATGAAAAGTTAATTTTAGGGTGTGATATACCGTCCCCCAAATTTAGATGGGGACCGGGGGAGACTACTATGGGGGGAAAATTGTAGGGCCACAAGGCACGATAATGTAGTAATTCTAGGAGATTTTAAACTTTAGTCATATTGATTGGAATTTCTTGACTGGGAATTTAGAATCAACGACTTCTTAGAAGTATTTTCAGGATTGTTTTTTTTGAAGCAGTTTGTGACAGAACCTACAAGGGGTAATAACCTGCTTGACTTAGTTCTGGCAAACAATGATCCCTTGTTAATAATTTAGAAGTTTTAGAGGAACTGGGTGCTAGCGACCACAAATCAATTACATTTAGAATTGAATGGAAGTTATGATATAGGGATAACTCAGTAACAGTCCCAGATTTTCGCTTAGCAGATTACGATGGGCTTAGAGAACACTTATCATCTGTTGACGGGGTAACGAAGAGAGCTATCATATGACAGTTTTTTTGAGCACAAACATGCTGCTCAAAAAAACGTTTATTCCCTTATAAAAAAAATTAGATCAAATAGAAATGACCCAAAATGGATGAATAATAGGCTGAAATACTACTAGGGCATAAGAAAAGAATTTTTAGGGGTATCAAAAGAGGCGAGGTCATCTTATGAAAACAGTATATTGACATTAAGAGGGACATTAAAAAGGGGATAAGAAAAGCTAAAAGGGACTATGAAATTAAAGTTGCTAGGGATTCTAAAACTAACCCAAAAGTTTTTTCCAGGTATATAGAACAAAAGTCAAGATAAGATAGGTCCCCTTAAAAATAACTATGGGCATCTTACTGACAAAGAGAATGAAATGTGCTCTATTTTAAATAATTATTTTCTCTCGTTTTTACACAGGAAGACACTAATAATATTCCGGTAATTAATTTTTATAGTGGCCAGAAGAAGATAAATTTTGTAACCCCTCACAGTCACTAGTGAAATGGTTGTGAAGGGAGATAGACCGACTGAAGCAAAATAAGTCACCGGGTCCTGATGAGGTTTTTTCAAGGGTTCTAAAGGAATGCAAAATGGAAGTCTGGGGAACCATTAAAATAATATTTTTAATTTATCTCTTCAAACAGGTGTAGTGTTGATATGTGGGAAAATGGCTAATAAATTCCTATTTTTAAAACAGGGGACAAGTCGTTACGTCAAATTACCGCCCAATAACCTGACCTCAATTGTAGGCAAATTACTAGAGTCAATTATAGCTGAGATTGTAAGAAGCCATCTCGATAAGCATAGCTTGATTAATGATACTCAGCATGGATTCACAAGAGGCCGGTCTTGTCTAACTAATTTATTGACTTTCTTCAGTAAAGCTTTTGAGGCTGTTGACCACAATAAAGAATTTGATATTATTTACTTAGATTTTAGTAAGGCTTTTGATAGAGTTCCGCACAATAACTGTTAAAGAAAGTGGCAGCTCATGGCATTGGGGGAAAAGTGCTCTCGTGGATCGAGTCATGGCTCACTGACAGGAGCAGAGAGTGTCCATAAATGGGGTTAAATCCGAGTGGGGATCTGTAACAAGTGGCGTTCCACGGGGAATCAGTCCTTGGGCCCGTTGTTGTTTATAATATATATCAATGATCTTGATGAGGGAATTACTAGTGATATGAGCAAATTCGCCGATGACACAAAGATAGGTAGGATAATTGATTCAAACGTAGATGTTATGGAACTTCAGGAGGATTTAAACAAACTCTATTCTTGGTCAGAAAAGTGGCAGATGCAGTTCAATGTAGATAAATGCAAGGTTCTGAAGCTTGGGAGTGCCCATAACCCTAGTACTTATAAGTTAAATGATGTAGAACTTAGCCATACAGATTGCAAAAAGGACTTGGGGGTTATGGTGAGCAGCAACCTTAAACCAAGACAGCAATGCCAACGTCGAAATAAGGAAAATAATTACTGGGATTTTATCAAGAAGTATAGCAACAAAGCCAGGGGTTAAAACTGCAGCTTTATCATCTTTTAGAAAGGCCTCACCTAGATTGCACTCAGTTCTGGTCTCCGTATTAAAAAATGGCAAAAATTTTTAGAAAACATTCAGCGGGATACAAATTAATAAACATTAAAAATCTTCCCTTATAAAGAAAATTAAAAGACCTTTTAAATTTAATTCACTTGTTAGACGAAGAAATGGGGGGAGCCCGATCGAAGTGTATAAGTGGAAGAAGGATTAAAAAAGGGGATATTAATAAGGTCTTGAGGATGTTTTCCCAAGAGAGAACCCGCAGAAAGGGTTTTTAAATTAGAAAATTTAGTTTAGAAAGGCATGGGAAAAATTTTTGGTTTGGGAAATAGGTAGTTGATAGTGGAACAGTCTCCCCTTTGGGGGTTTTGGGGCGGGGACTTTGGGTAGTTTAAAATTTGGTTTGGAAAAGTACATGGTGGGGGGGGTTGGTTTGAGGGACTTTCACATCAGACTATTTCTTGGGTGGCATTGAAAATTGGTTGGGCAAATTTTGTTAGTGGATGAATTGTAAAGGACCGCCTATTGGGCCAGCAGGCCCCCTGCAGGTTCCTCCTTCTTATGTTCTTAAATTTCACCCCAAAAAATTTGACATTTTTTCAATAAAGACTAACCATCCCTCTATTTTCCCCTTTTCCTCACTGAAACCCCAAAGGACCATGATTGTATCAAAGTTGATAAACTTATCTTCCTTTGCCCCTCAGCCCCCCTAGCTATTTTACCATCTTTCCCTTATCTGTCATGATTCACATCTAAAAATCTAACCCTTATATCTAATTATTTTTTAAATTTTTACAGATATGATGCTTTTACACTGTGGTACAAAACATGATGGTAGAGACCAAGCGGCGATGTGGTGATGTGAGAGTGAGAGGGGCGGAGGGGGGCCCGACATGTCTCGTTAGCGAGGTAAAGGACGTTTGAAAAAACCCGGGAAAGGGTTATTAAAAATTTTAAATGGAAATTTTGAATTTTAAAATTATATGTGTGATCTGTATGTGGGAGTTAATTTTTTTTTTTCATGGAATGGTCTTTGAATAAAACCTCTGAATTTTTTTAACAGGAATAAAAAAAAATCACTTCATGTAGAACAAAATGGGGCATTTTATTAAAAAGGTAAATATTTTATCCCTTTTTCTTTTTCATCTTTAGATTTTTCATGGGTCCCGAGACAAAACTTGATGAGGGGGAAAGGAGAGGTGATGATGTGAGAAGCGAAGGGGTTTTGGTTTCAAGAACAGGGGGCTGCCATCACTTAAACCTCTAGGGGCAAAACCCCAACGAAGATGAAGGAAAAATTTAAATTTTCCTCTGTTGACTGATTTGGGTTGGGGACTTTCAAAAAAGATAAGAGGTAGAAAGGGAAAAAATTGGTTTAGTCAGGTAAGCTGATCTTTCAGTAAGAAACTTTCATCAACAGTATTTGTTTAGTTTTACAGATGATACTGGATCTATCTTCAGTGTCTTGCATAACTATCTTGTGTTGCTGGTACACAGTTCATTGATAACTATGTATATTTAGCATGTTGAAATAAAGCATAGAAAATGTAGCTCTTTCAGGAATCATATTTTGATAAACAAAAATTACTATATTTTATTGATATTTACTATAATTCATGTTGCTTCTGGGGAACGTTATTGATCAGATTTTTTTTTTTTTTTATTTGTGTGAAGGTGCTATGTTACCTCTATGGATTTAGCACTTTTCCATTTTTCCATGAATATAAGAATAAAAATGTGTGGTATATAAATAGTATTGATGCTTCTTTTGATAATCATTCTTAGGAATGCTGATATGTTATAAATATATATATGTTTATAGGATATCTTCAAGGACCTTGAGACAGAAGCTGATGAGGACTATGAGCTCGACACTGCCATACAGAAGTACAAAGAAAGCAGCAGGATTCTGGAAAAGAAGTCAAAAAAAATCCCAGGGGAAGAACTAGAGGTAAAAAAAACTACAAAATGTATTATTTCATTTCATCTCAGTGAGAAGCGGAGAAGACTCCTTACTCCGTGATCTATGCTTGTCATAAAGGTGACTGAAATGTCAGGAGCAAAGGGCTAGTAGTCCTTTCTCCTGTATAATATTAATTAATTAAAAAAAGAACACATTTTAAAGTTTGTTTGAATATTCATGGAGGTAGTACAGCTGATAGAGTTGATGTGAATGTTTATGAAAAGAAGCTGAAGTTCTAACTCAAAGCAATTTAAGCTGAAAGTATGAGAAAAAAATTTCAGTGAGGAGAAATAACCAAGATTAATAAACCTGGGTATGTAGCAAGTGTCTGGAAAAGTTGGATGAGACTACTTAATGTTGTTAAGAAGTTTTTATGAGGATAATGAGCTTAGTTTAATGTAGGAGAGATTATTTTCCCAGAAAGTAGACCATAACAGGGAAGTGATCTGCCATAGGTTGTTTAAAACATTATAGACTGGGATTGTGTAAAAGAAGTGAAACTAGGATGTTGGGGAAAGTACAGTGATTAAAAATAATCTAATACAAAGAGGGAGTTGTCACCGTTTGCTTATTGCCTAGACATAGTTGCTTTTTGGAGATATTTGAAGAGAAGTTGTAAAAGTTGTTAACAAATTTGGAAGGGGTATGTAAAAAAAAAAGAAGGAATTAAAAAGTTAACATAGGAAAAAACAACAACTGAAGAGAATAACAAAAAAATTAGATAATTGAAAAACGGTAAAAAAAATTTAGTATTCATTGTAATAAGGAGTATGGAAGAAAAGTTGAATTTGTTCAGATATTTGGGAGTGGATTTAGGTAGAAAGGTTGGTAGTAGGCATGTATAAACGCTACCCCTCTATTTTTTTTTTTCTTACTAGTCTTGTTTATTTCCTTTTATCTCCCTGGAGGAAGTGGAAACATAATTACCTTCCTCGTAAGCCATGCATGTCATAAATCTTGGAGCAAGGAGCAATAACACCTTCTCCAGTATACATTACTAAAGTTAAAAGCGAAACTTTCGTTTTTTCTTTATAAGTCACCTGCCTCAGTGGGATATGCAGTTTTTGAAACATAAACACATGCAGTTTAAATCTGATCCTTTAATTGACAATGTTTCGCCCACACAGTGGGCTTTTCAAGTCACACACTGATCTACTGGTTGGAAGGTACGGGATATTTATAGCATGTCAAATGTTTGAGGTCAGGTGGAAATGCCGGCATCTGTACGATCTCCCGGTGAGGTTTATAAGAGTCTTGGGTAGCTGGGCAGGGTATTGGGACAAGTTCTGAGTAGACCTTCTGCAGTGTTCTATGTTCTTAATGTGGGATAGTGATGAAGAAGTTTTTTGGCGATGTGGTTCCAGCTATGTATATAGAAGCCGTTGTTCTGGTTGAAAATTGTTGGTTATTAGAGAAAGTGATGATCCCAGGATTCATCGATATTGAGTGTTGTCTTCTGAGCGATAATCATGAGTATTCTGTAGATAATTAAATGGTTGTGTGAATTGCGATGTTGTAATGGGGGGCACAGACATTCCTTGTATCATCAGTCTGCTTGCATATTGGTGTTCGAAATACGTGTTTTTGAGGTCCTTGATGTTTTTGCCCACATAATGATTGGGTTTGCAGTCATTACAAGGATTATGTACACCCCTGCCAGAGGATGGAACTTGTCCTTCTACTACTGGGTGATGTCCTTGATGGGCGTGATTGTGGAGGAGATACTCGGAATGATGTAATGGAAAAAGTTGGAAAACATTTTGGCAATGGAGTTGTGGGGAGGACTATGTATCTCTTCTCGGCGGATGTCTTCTCATGGTGTGTTGTAGATGATTAGTGCCCCTCCGTCTGCAGTCTCTGATGAAGTGACGAGGAAAGTGGAGTTAAGAAAATACTTTGTTCAAATATAGAGCATTCTTCCTCAAGGAACTCATTGCTGCAGATTCTGAGTGCACGCAGGAAGAAGCCTATAATTCTGAACTCCACTATCCTCGTCACTTCATCAGAGACTGCAGACGGCGGGCATTAAACCCTCTTTCAACACACCAGAGAAAGACACTGCCGATAAGAGATACATACTCACTCCCCACCAATTCCATTGCAAACATTTTCCAACATCATTTCCAATAAATCAATTACCAAGTATCTACCTCCACAACCATGACCATCAAGGACATCACCAGTAGTAACAGGGACAAGCTTCCCTCCTCTGCAGGGTATACATAAACCCTTGTACACACACACATGCAACAAATTATAATGTGGCGAAACATCAAGAGACCTCCAAACATCGTATTTCAGAACACCCAAATATCAAGCGACTGAGACGATAAAGGAATGCTGTGTACAACATCGCAATTCACACAACCATTTAATTAACTACAGAAACTCAAGACTTTATCGCCACAGAAGACAACACACCCAATACCAAAGAATCCTGGAATCCTCACATATCTCTGTAACACCACAATTTTCAACCAGAACAACGGCTTCTGTAACATAGCTGAACCACTCGCCAGAAACTTCTTCATCGCTACCCACATAAGAACATAGAACACTGCAGAAGGTCTACTCAGAACTTGTCCAATACCCCTGCCAAGCTACCCAAGACTCTATAACCCCACCCGGTAGATCATCAGATGCGGCATTCTCCACCTGACCTCAACATTCTGAACATGACTATAAATACTCCCGTACCTTCCACCCCAGGTAGATCTGTGTGTGACTTGAAAAAGCCCACTGTGTGGGTGAAACATTGTCAATAAAGGATCACATTAAACTGCATATGTGTTTGTTTCCATTGTGTCGGTATTTTATACCATTTATTTTCATATGGCTGTTTGTTGAGAAAAAAGAAAATTGGGAGTGGACTTGTTGGTTTATGAAAGATAAAAGTAATTCATAGAACTGACAATGGGAAAAAGGTGGGTGGTGCACTGAGGTATCTGTCAAGGCAAAAATGGGAATGTACCAGAGTACAGTGGTACCAACACACTGTGGATGTGAAGCATGGGTTTTAAATGTTACAGTGAGGAAAAAGGCTAGAGGCACTGGAAATGTGTTTGAAGGCATTGTGTGGTGTGACTATTATGCAGAGAATTAATAGTTTGGAGATTAGGAGGTACAGAGTTACTAAATGTATTATTTAGAGGGCTGGAGGATGGGTTATTGAAGTGGTTTGGATATTTAGAGAGGATGGAGCAAAATAAGATGACTGGGAGAGTGTCTAAATCTGTAGTGAAGGAATGGAGGGGTAGGGGGTAGAGGAGGTTTGTATATGACAGCCAACTGGTATGTGTGAGTGTTTTGGACAAGAGTGGTGGAGGCAAGTGGTTTTTATGACTTGACATGCTATTTAAAGTGTGAACAAGGTAACATCATTTATGCAGAGATTGAGGGAAACTGACTAATTTAGCCAGACTTTGAGTCCTGGAGATGGGAAGTACAGTGTCTGCACTCTGTAGGAGGTGTGGGGATACTGCAGTTTATTTTGCCTCTGGCATGACAGTGATAGTGAGTGATGGTGAAAGTATTTCTTCTTTTTTTTTTAGATCAGCCTTTCTTGGTGGGAGACAACTGGCATGTTAAAAAAAGTACATTGAACATCACCTGGATTCAGTACTACCTCTTATTTTCAGGGCAATGAATCAGGATACACCAGTGATACAGAAGTAGCACTAGATGCTCCAGACTCTGATACAGACTCAAACTCTGACTCAGACACTGATGATGAACCTGTAAAAGCTGGTCCACAAATGATAGGAGGGGCTGTTGGTAATGGTAAGCTTGAGAATCTCATTTCAATTTTATCATTTAAAGTACCTAAATGATTTCAAACTTGTATTCTTTGGAATTCATGTGAGAAAGACATCCTGGTCTCAGACCAGGCCTGTTGTACCCCCATTCCCTCCAGCTATTCCTTGGACAACCTTCCACCAGATTTATACACTCTCTCCGTCGACCTATCACTGCCCATCCTCCGTACGTGCTCAAATCACCTGAACAACCCCTCTTCAGCTCTGAATCACCCCGCATCACCTTTTAATTTCTACGCTCTGAATTCTCTGAATGATGTTCACATCATTATTATTGAGGGAGGATTCATGTGGAATCAAACAGTAAAAATCATATTTCTCCAAAGTATGTAGAAAGCAGGGAAAAACTTGCTTCTTCCAAACTAATGTATATTATTATCCTAGCTCAGATCTAGGCTAGGATGTACAGCAATATATTTCTCTGTATGTACTTGACAGTTGGTGTTCATGAAAGAATAGATTCTGTTTTTGAATTATTCCAAAGTATTTTCAGATGCTGCTTTTTTTCCTTGAATATTGTTCTGAATATATGCTATTAAATTATAAAGTCTTTGAGAAACACAAATAATTTGCAGGTAATACAAAGGGTAAAAGAAGAGGACATAAGACCAGGCTAAAGACTAGACCCTGTTTGGCTGGCACTGCTACTAAAATGATTTACCCTCGCAAAAAAGCCAAGAGAGACATTATGGATGCTGCTGGAATAGGTATGTTGTCTTATTCAGATCTGCTCTCATTGTAATAACCCAGGTGAGTATTAGCACTTTGTGATTAAATGAAGAAAATCAGATCTGCTCTTGGATATTTTGTTAAATTTCAGTTGTTAGTTGCAATTTTATAAACACAGCTGCTGTTGCAAATAAATACGAAATGGTAAATAAAAATTTCTTGTCTGCACTTCAGGTATATTTGGAGATGATGATGACCTCCCTACAGGTATGTTAGGGACGAGAAGAAATTATATCACAACGAAGTGAAGTAGACCCAGTAAGTGCTTTGTTTATGCATATATATATTTCTTAACAAGACCTGGAGTCCTTTTTTTCTGTCTCATAAACACGCTAGATAACAGGGATATCTTGCGACAACTCCAACTTACACTTTGGTCACACTTATTACACAAATAACCCGCACATAAAAGAGAGAAGCTTACGACGACGTTTCGTCAGGTCGACTTGGACCAATGACCAAATCACACTAACAGAGGTGGAGCAGGACGTCCTATATAAGGCAGGAAGAGGTGAGTAGAAAGTAGTAGTATCAAGAATTGTATATAAAACCGTAAGGATGAAATGACACATGCACAACACCCGGGCAACCCCACCGTAAAGACGTTTCGCCATTCCATGCATCCACTGGAAGGCGAAACGTCGCACAACAAAGACAACAGACGCCGCACATGTTTCTTACTTTCATCCATATTGTAGTAGACAAGAAGAAGAGGAGTAAGTAGTTGTAGTGGTAGAAGTGGGAAATAAGGAAGACGAGCCAGTCAAATACAAAGGCAGGTAGCCCGCAAGAGAGCTAGAACCCACAGAGGGAGAGTCAAGCGCACCCAGGGAGGTACTACCGTCCAGCCAGTGAGTGTAAACAAAAAAGCCTGTAATTGTTTACATGATGGTAAGATTCTGAGTTCTTTTGTACCTGTACTCAGTCAAAATAGCAAGATTACAGGACGACATGCTACTTCTACTTACACTTAGGGGTCCACTACACATACCTGTACAACACACGTTTATTATACATCACTCATCTGAGTTTTTCTTTGATTTATCTTAAATAGTTCTTGTGTCATATTACTTTTTCCTTTATATCCATGGGGAAGTGGATAAGAAATCTATCCTCCGTAAGCCATGCGTGTTGACAAGTCAACTAAAATTCCGGGAACAATGGGTCTAGTAAACCCCTTTACTTAAAGATTACTAAAAAGAAAAGAATAAGAAAATTGTCAAAGTGGGAAGTCTGAATGTGCGTGGATGTTGTGCAAATGATAAGAAAGAGATGATTGGTGGTGATATGACTGAGAAGATACTGATGTCTGGCTTTAAGTGAAACAAAGCTGAAGGGGGTGGGAGAGTTTTCAATGGAGAGGATAAATGGGATTAGGTCAGGGGTATCAAAAGAGTTATTAGCGCTAAAGAAGGAGTAGCACTAATGTTGAAGATAAGCCAAATGGGCAGGAAAAGAGGGACTACAAATGTATAAATTCAAGGATTATGTGGAGTAAAAAAAAGATTGGCTGTGAAAAGTGGGTTTATATTAAGCGTGTATTGCACCTGGAGAAGAAGAGAAGTGAAAGTCGAGAGAGAGATTCCTGGAAATGTTGAGTGAATGCTAGGCTGGGATTTTGAATCAAGTGGTGAAGTAATGTGGTGGGTTGGGGATTTCAATGCTAAAGAGGGTAAAAATGTTTATGGAGGTGTAGTAGGTAATTTTGGGGTGCCAGGTGTAAATGCTAAATGGGGAGCCTCTAATTAGACACTGTGTAGAAAGAAATTTGGTAATAAGTAATACATATTTTATGAAAAAGAGGATAAATAAATTATACAAGGTATGAAAAATGTAGCCGTAATGAAAGTAGTTTGGTTAGATTATGTTTGGTGGATAAAAGGTTGATGGTAGCTCCTGGATGTACATGTTTATAGAGGGGCAACTGAATATATATCGGGATCATTATTTATGATTTTTAGCTACAGTTAGAGTAAGAGGTAGTATGGGAAAAGGAAGTTCAACAACAAGTAGAGGGCAGGGAAAGTGTAAAAACAATCTGGAGGAGGAAGTTTTTTCGGGCGAGATAATAAGCGACAATTTGTGCAAAAGGTGGGCTAGTGCAAAGATGAGTAAGTGGGGGGGGATGAAGAGGGTTGGAATAGTTTTAAAAATGCAGATATTAGATTGTGGGGCAGAAGTTTGAGGTTTATAGATGGTGGGGCAGGATGCAAGAGATGATTGGTGGAATGATGAAGTAAAGGGTGTGATAAAAGAGAAAAAGTAGCTAACATAGTTTTTTTACAAAGCAAAGTTTAATAAGAAAGCAGAAGTAAATGTGAGTAAAAACAAAGGTTGAAGAGAGTGTGAGTGAGTGCAAAAGGAGAGCCGATGAAAGATGGGAGAGGCACTGTCAAGAAATTTTAATGAAAATAAGAATAAAATTTTTGGAGTGAGTTAAACAAGTTTAAGAAAAGCCCTAGGGAAAGTATGATTTGTCAGTTAAAAACAGAGTAGGGGAGTTTTAGATGGAGAAGGGAGTATTAGGTAGATGGCGAAATATTTTTGAGGAACTTTTAAATGTAAGGAAGAAAGGGAGGGGCGGTAATTTCCATGCACTGGCCAGGAGGTAAACCATCATTTAGGAGTGCAGAAGAGCAGACTGTAAGTGTGGTGGAGGTACGGAGGCATTACGTAGAATGAAAGGGGGTAAATCAGCTGGAACAGAATGGGATCATGACAGAACTGATAACAGCAGGGGGATATAGTGTTGGAGTGGTGGTACTTTTGTTTATAAATGTATGTAAGAGGGGATGGTCCTAGGGATTGCGAGAGCATGTATAGTCCCTTTATATAAAAGGAAAGGGACAAAGAGATTGTAAAAATTATAGAGAATACGTTTACTGAGTATACCAGGAAAAGTATACGGTAGGGTTATAATTGACAGAAATAAAGGTAAAGACAGAATGTCAATTGCGGACGAACAAGGAGGGTTCATAGTGGGTAGGGTGATGTAGATCAAGTGTTATTACATAATGAATCATATATGTGACAGTATATTAGATAAAGGTAGGGAGTTTTTATTGCATTTATTGATTGAGAAAGGCATATGATAGAGTGTGATAGAGGCGCAATGGGCAGAATGTTGCATTATATGTGCATATGTGTACGTTACAAAGCTGTAAGAGCTTTTATGAGATAGTGAGGCTCAGGTTAGGGTGTGTAAAAGAGGAAAAACTTCCCGTAAAGTATGTCTTAGTACAGGGATGTGTAATTTCACCATGGTTGATTTAATATATTTTATAGATGGGTTGTCAAAGAAGTAAATGCTATGGTGTTCGAGAAGAGGGGAGGGATTAAAATGGGAAACAAATTCAAAAGGAATTTGACACAGTTACTTTTTGCTGATGATACTGAGTGCTTAGGAGATTCAAAAGAAAATTGCAAAGGTTCTGGATGAGGTTTGAGAAGGTGTGTAAGGTAGAAAGTTGCAATTGAACAAAGAAAAGAGTAAGGTGATGAGGGTATCTCATGATTTAGATAAAGAAAAATTGGATATCAAATTGGGGAGGAGGTGTATGGAAGAAGTGAATGATTTCAATACTTAGGGAGTTGACGAGTCGGCGGATGGATTTATGAAGGATGAGGTAATCATAGAATTGATGAGGGAACAACAAAGGTGAGTAGGTGCGTTGAGGTCTATGTGGATCAAAAAACGTTAACTATGGAGGGCGCAAGAATGGAATGTAATGAAAGTATAGTAAGTACCAACACACTTAAATGATGTGAATCTTGGGTGTAAATGCAGCCATCCAGCGAGGAGACGATATGGAGGCAGTGGAGATGTCCTGTCAAGGCAATGTGTGGTGTAAATATTAACAGAAATTCGGAGTGTGGAATTAGGAGAAGGTGTGGAGTTAATAAAAGCATTGTCCCAGAGGGCAGAAGAGTGGGATTGTTGAGGTGGTTTGGTCATTTAGAAGAATGTATCAAAGGTAGAATGACCTGGAAAGCATAAAAATCTATAGGGGAAGGAAAAGGGTAGGGGTCGTCCCTCGAAAGGGTTGGAAAGAGGGGTAAAGGAGGTTTTTGTGGTTGAGGGGGTCTTGGGACTTCCAGCAAGTGCGGGGCCATGGAGCGTGTTAGATAAGGAGTGAATGGGGAACGAACTGATTCTTGGGACCTGAGATCAGTTGAGATTGTGAGCAGGGTAATATTTATTGACGGTATTCAGGGAAACCGGTTATTCTCACATAT